TGTTAGGCATCATGCTAAGAATTATAAATATAACGGCAAAGACACAGGTTTGTGCCTATAAAAAGTTCATAAATCGAGATGAATACAAGCAAAATGCACATGAATGAAGGTTTAAACATATGATTATGAATTCTATTATTTAATTATCAAATGATGTGTTTCATACCCAAACCAAAAGGACAAAAATTCTAAACATTCATTCACCAAAATCATCTGCAAAATCTAAGTGAAATTAATCCAAGAATGGGAACTAGAGGAATCCTAAGACAACAGCCAAACAGCGGACTGAGAGAGCAGTGAGTTCATACTGGGTTGGGAAGACTAGGACTCCAGGAATGAAATCTCCAAGGGTGGGAAGAAGTTAAATAATAAGATTAACTGATGTTTAAGGAGTCTGATAGTTTTGATGGAGTCTTGGAATGAAGTGATCAATCCAAGAGAGTAAGTACAATTCTAGAAAAAAAAAGAAAAGGGAAGAGATGCAAGCGAATGGTAATGAGTTTTCTACACATTAGACACAATTTGCTTTTTTTTTTTTGAGACAGAGTCTCACTCTGTTGCCCAGGCTAGAGTGAGTGCCATGGCATCAGCCTAGCTCACAGCAACCTCCAACTCCTGGCCTCAAGCGATCCTACTGCCTCAGCCTCCCGAGTAGCTGGGACTACAGGCGTGCGCCACCATGCCCGGCTAATTTTTTCTATATGTTTTTAGTTGGCCAATTAATTTGTTTCTATTTATAGTAGAGACGGGATCTCGCTCTTGCTCAGGTTGGTCTCGAACTCCTGACCTGGAGCGATCCTCCAGCCTTGGCCTCCCAGAGTGCTAGGATGACAGGCGTGAGCCACCACGCCCGGCCAACTGCAACTTATTACAACAGATAACTCTTGCAGTTTGCACACACACGTGTATCACGAGGTGAAGGACTCACCTGAGCAATGAACTGGATAATCTTCACAAATATATTGAGAGGCGTGTCACGAGGAACCACGCTTCGCGAGCCTTTTGGAAAAAGTGCTGACACTATGCTCATGAGACGACTACAGGGAACAGAGATTTAGTCACAATGAGGTTATCACATTAACAGCATATTAGTTAAAAACTTCTTCCTATTCTTCATAAGATATCAAAAGAATTCATATGCCTTCCCAAGTATTTATGATGTTTACTAAAATTCCACTAATGTCGCTTTTGAAACATTTTATCTTAAATGCACTTTTATAAAAAAAAAAAAAGGGTACTCACCTTTGAGTTACAGTGTTGCTTTCACATTTTATTCTAATTACATAAACCCACAATAATCTATACAAAGATTCCAGTGCAACTCGAGACATTTTAGGGTCTTTATTCTGTTTAAAAAACAAAAGAGAGTAAAAATAGACTTATTAAAATACTTGCAATCATTTAAGATCAAATACATTCTCTGTTAACAACCGAAAGCCTCCAACTTTCGTTTTTGTATTCAATGTAAAACAGGTTTAAATACGTAGGTACATATTTGATATATGGTAAGTACAGATGGGCTCAAAAGTAACCATTAATATGGAAATTCTGAGCCCTTCCTTGTTCTCCCCTACCCCCCAAAATACTAAAACATAAGCATTATATTAATATTTCTAAGGACTCCAAAATTATACACATACCAACTTACTTGATAATAAATAGTCCACACTGTAATATTGAAAGGACTGGAAAAGAATTACTAATTTTTGGTATAATTCATTGATAGCCCATCCATAACACAGTTAAAATTTAGAACAATAAATGATATTATTATTTGCATTTATAAAATAATGCAAACATTGAGTGGAGAGAATATGGAAAAGTAGGGTTGAGATCATGAGCTCTGATATTAGGAGCTAGGATTAAATCTAAGCTCCACCCTTGGCGATTATTACATCACTCCAAGCTACAATTTTTTCTCCTCGCCAAAATGGAAACCATATGGTGCCCACCTCACGGATCAAGAAAGTCAGTATCTGTAAGGCCCTTGGACCAGTGCCTGGCACGTGTTAAACGTTCACCGAGTGTTAAGTGTTATATCTTTCATTTTGACTTAGAATCAGAACATTATTTAAAGTATTATTTAGAATCAGAAAGTTATTCCATTTCAATCACAAATCTGATCAGCAAACTTTTATCGTCATTCCAGCTGTTACAAAAAATACGGCTCTCCAATGACCACACTTGAGTAATGAGATGTAACTGTCAATTGTGAAAAATGTAGCCAATAATCTCCTTTATCAGGACAAACCCTTTTTACATACATCTGTTGACTGGTTGTAGGGTGCACTGATTGCTGTAAATTTACACTTTAAAAAAAATTTGGTTGTAGGATGCATTGATTGCTATAAATTTACATTTAAAAAAATTTTGGTTAGGCGGGTTTCTTATCGTTAAATAATTATTTTATAAATAGCAACTGGCAAAAGGTGGTTTTGTAAACATTAAGTAATTTAGCCATTCTATTTTATGTTTTCTTAAGAAATAGAATAATGGACATCTATTACATATGACTAAAAGCAATGCAAAAAGACAATTATGTTCTTTAAAAAGACTTACCCACTAAAAAGTATAATTTTCACACATCTATCTAGATGAAAGTTTGATATGATTAAGACTGGAAAGGTCAATCACTCTGCTGGTTATAGTCTGAGCCTTGATCCTACCTCTCCACTGCCAGATCCACAATGATCCCAAATTTCAAACATATTCCCAAAGTAATTTTCTAATGTATTTGTTCTAATGTAACTAAAGTATCATATAATGTAACTAAAGTATCTTATAATGTATCATAATGTAACAACCAAGCTTTTGGTAGTAATGCCTTTAAGAAAACCTAACTTTCCTTCCTATCATTCCAATCCTAGAGACCAGATATCAAAATATGAGGTCAGCCAGGGGTTGGGAAGGTAGGGAGACATGAATAGGCAACAGAGAATTTTTAGAGTAGTGAAAACACTCTATGTGATACTATAATGGCAGATGTATGTCATTATACATTTGTCCAAACCCATAGAATGTTGAACACCTAGAGTGAACCTTAATGTAAACTGTCGGCTTTGGGTGATAAGAATGTATCAATATAGGCTCATCAATTGTTAACAAATGGCACGGTGGCTCACGCCTGTCATCCCAGCACTCTGGGAGGCCGAGGCAGGAGGATCGCTCAAGGTCAGGAGTTCGAAACCAGCCTGAGCAAGAGAAAGACCCCTGTCTCTACTATAAATAGAAAGAAAGTAATTGGCCAACTAAACATATATAGAAAAAATGAGCCGGGCATGGTGGTGCATGCCTGTAGTCCCAGCTACTCGGGAGGCTGAGGCAGGAGGATCGCTTGAGCCCAGGAGTTGGAGGCTGCTGTGAGCTAGGCTGAGGCCACAGCACTCTAGCAACAGAGTGAGACTCTGTCTAAAAGAAAAAAAAGAAAATTGTAACAAATGCCTGACTCTGGTGGAGAATACTAATAATGGGGAGACCAGGCGTGTGGCAGGGTGGGGGGGTCTCTATGGGAAATCTCCGTGCCTTCCTCTCAAGTTTGCTGTGAACCTAAAACTGCTCTTAAAATAATAAAGTCTTTTTTTTTTTTTAAAGTTCCATTAGGTTTTTATGCACACATCAGATACTACTTTCACACGAATAAATTATATTTTTTAAATATTAATACAAATGATACATTGAAAATATTTAAGTTCTCTTCTACATAAAAACTGTTCTCATAAATGATTAACTATAAAAGTATTTGAATGATCTTAAGTGATGAGGTTATCTGGCATGATTGATTTTCAAATGTGCCAAGATGGATTGCTATTTTACAAAACTGGCGTTGGCACAATGCCAAGAAAGCCAGATGACAAATGATAGAAATCAATTATTAATTATGTTTTCTGGTCACTACTATATATATATATATATATACATATATATATATATATATGTATATATATGTATGAATAATAAAACTATCCTAAATTGATATGAGCCTTAAACAAAGAGATATAATTCCCCCATTACAATTTTAGTCTAATTTGAATAATCAGATTATTACATAAAAGATCTAATGACATTAATATATAACGAAGTTTTGATATGTGAGTCAAATATGATCTTTGGCAACAATCATTTTCATATGTTTCTTCCCTTTTTTCTACTGTATACCCAAAAAAATGATGCTGAAAACCCAAACCAATAGGATAAGTTTTAAAAATTCATTCATAAAAATTGTATTAAAAATCTAGGCTACTATCTTTTTAATTTCATTGGAAACTTATTTGCAACATTTTCATTTATAACAGCTAAATGATGGAAATTAGACAGAATATTTAATTTAAAAACTAAATTAATTTTTTCAGAGATAGGGTCTCCCTCTGTCACTCAGGCTAGAGTGATGTGGCCCAATCATAGCTCACTGGAATCTCAAATTTCTGGGCTCAAGCGATCCTCCTGCCTCAGCCTCCTGGGTAGCTGGGACTACAGGCATGCGCCGCTACCCCCAGCCTAAACAGAATATTTTTAAAAATTGTGAATTTTGGTGAAGAATCAGCATTTAGGATCACTTCTACCTCTTAAAATTCATCTCCTTTGAGCCACATTTATTTTAAACCTTCTGAAGACTTTTATTACTGCTGTGTTACTCTTTTTTTACGATACTATAAGCAAGGTCAAATAAATACATTAGACGTGCAATGCAACCATGGTAAAGGAAAAAAAAACAAATGCCACGCTTAACAGAAATAAAGCAATATTTCAGTTCGTAACGTCAACACGACTCACCTGGAGGGTTTCTATTTGTTTTCTGATACTGTTGTTAGATGGCATCTAAATAAAGCAATGTAAGACAGCAAACATAAACATGAGATGCAGCACATGCATGTTAGATGAAAATAAGCACAAAACAAGACAGCTCTTCACCAAGGTCTCTATTTAGAAGAAATTTGAATTTTCCAAGACAGTGGCCAGAAATACTAAGAAAAAAAAAAATCCCACAATTTGGGCATCACTGGATATACCTACAATACTCAAACTAAGAGAAAAACAGTTACAATTTTGACTCCCTAATTTTAAAGTGCTTTAAATTTTTAAAAGAAAATAAGCATAGACTGTAGGGGGTGGGGAAGGATCTCCAAATTATTTTTTGCATAATATTTTCTCTTATCATTCACCTATCTCTCTTTAATAATTCTTCACAAATTTTAAAATCACTTTTAACATAAGCACCTAAGTGGATACAAAGAAATGGGAAACGACCAAATTCTGTTTGGGACAAAAATAAAGGATTTAACTTTTCAGTGAAAATAGACACTCTTTTACTTGCTATTTATGGGCATATAGGCTTAAAGCCCAAGTCACAGCCATCAACTTAAAAAATTGGCATGGTAACTTCATATGTGCAGTATCTTAAAGCACGTTGAAATTCACATTTATTCTTATGGCTCGGGAAAATAATGACTCTTTAATATCCCAGAATTATAGCCAAAATATTTTCTGAAAAAATATTCTTGAAATATTCAGCAATCCAGATTCACGCCTGCAATCCAGCAACTCAGAAGGCTGAGGCAGGAGGATCACTTGGGGCCAGGAGTTCGAGACTGGCCTGGGCAACATAGTGAGATCTTGTCTCAAAAAAAAAAAGAAAGAAAGAAAGAAAAGAAAACATAAAAAGAAGAAAAGAAAAATTAACTAGTCCTGGTGGCACATGCCTGTAATCCCAGCCACTTGGGAGGCTGAGGCGGGAAGATCGCTTAAGCCCAGGAAATTGAGGCTGCAGTATTCTATGACCACACCACTGCACTCCAGCAGGGCAACAAAGATAACTCATCTCTTAAAAAAAGAAGAAGAAAAAATCCAGTACATAAACAGCCCTTACATATAGTATATTCAAAGGTAAGCTAGCAGGCCAGAGGAACCACTTATAAAACTGCATGAACCTAGACACAAATGTACCTCTGTCATTTACTACATCTCTAAACATGGGATACTTAATTTCTTCCAGCCTCAGATACAGTGGCAATCAAACGAAATATGGTATTAGAGAATATAGCATCCAGTAAAAATCAATAAAAAATCAGTCATAAGAAGTAGTGGACCTCATAAATGGAAAATTGTTTTAGATTTATCTTGCTATCAAGAAATTACTGGAATCTCAAAATAAAGTAGGTAAGTCCTTTATTTTGGACCAATTTTTCCTATGCATAAAAAAATTCTTACGACAGATAACTGGCATAGCACTTCCTTGCAGGTTCAAACTCCTTACCTCAACTATTCAGAACAGCCACATCCTCTAAGACTTAAGAAACGGAAGCCAATTCATAAAATTTCTGCTGAATAGAGCCTTAATGTAAGTTAAGGGTTAATGGCCAAGACAACTATGTTCCAAATATTCATGCTAGCTAAGTGGCTCTCATCTCCCTTCAGCCTGGCAGATTCGCACAGCCACTAATGAAAATGAACAATATGCCAGACATATTTAACAGGAGGTAATGGGGTCAAAGAAAACAGGGCATTTAAAATATAAGCCTTAAGACAAAAAAAAAAAAAGTTAAGGTACTGCGAAAGTATTGCAAATATGTTAGGTGAAAACATATATATATATATATAAAAAATTCCAACAAGCAACAGAAAAGTATGAACTGTTATGAAACCAAGCTATCTTCCAGAAACAATTAAATGCATGTCTTAAAAATATTTTACTCAAGAGTATAAAAAAAATACTATCCAGAAAATGACCAATTTTTCTTGTAGTACCTATATCTGTAAGAATTATCAAAATAAGGACAGAAATAAGTATAATGTATTGATGTAATTAATTAAATAAAATGTATTAATTAAATAAAAAGTATTAATGTAATTAATTGAATAAAATGGATTTCCTCGGTTGCATGATATAAAGAGCTTAATCAGCTTGATTTGGTCCTAGGAATTTTCATAAATAAAGCAAAGGAGGTGTGTGTGTGTGTGTGTGTATATATATATATATAGATATAAAATTCTCATCCAAATATGAATAATACCAATATTTATCTAGGAAGAAAAGAAACAAAAATGTTTTTCAAAGACAAAAAAGAACCAGTTCTATTTCTCCCAATACCACAACAAGCTGCATGGCCAGAGAGACAAGTCATTTTATAAATCTGTGCCTCAGTTGCACTATCTTCAAAAGCATAAGGTTTTCAGTCTCAAATCTACCTTAGAGGAATGCCAGGAAATGGAACGTCATGTTTGCGATGTTTCTATAACTCGTAAACAAATATTCAAATAGATTCATCTAACAATATGTCAAAAAGAATATTCAAATCAAGCTTTCACATGCCCTGCACATGAGGGTCATGCCCACATTTGGAGTCAGAACTGTGTTCCTAGCCAAAGAAGAAAAGAGCATCCTGCTAGCAGAGGGGAGACTGGGAAGAAAATAATCCTTCCACCCCTGACGGTTTTATTTTCAGTACCATGAACTGACTGAACATGGACACGCCAAACAGTGTTAGTAACAAGGATTCCCTTCATTCAAGTCAGAATCACTTCGGGAGTTTTTACATCGTGTGGATCCAGTTCCAGACTTTGCCTCTTGCCTGGGCTCACTTACATAAAATGTGATTTCAGTGATTATTTTGTCGTCAGAGCTTTTTTCATATTGCTTTGACTTGAGCCAACATTACTGAATTTTCTCAAAACAAAACACGGAATAAGTACCTGGAAGGTTGTGTGAGATTAAGCAATATACTCTGCAATCCTAAAAGAATTTATTTATTACATATTCTTAAATCTAAGATCATATAAATAAGATTCGTTAAAAATGTATTATACATTTGCATTCATTAGGACAAATGAAATTTTCCAACAAAACTTTATTCATATTTATACATGATTACCCTAGAGAAGAAACAAAGTATCTATCATATAAGAAGAAAAATGTAGTCATGTATTACTCAAGTGTATCAATAGTAATAAAAATGTTATTTTAGGCTGTCCAATTTATATGCATAAATAAATATATCACGGTCAGTATTGACAGGTCAGAAATGTGATTATGTCTTACCTTTAAATGTGACAAACAGTTCTGTAGGAAAATATGCCAGTTATTTAAAAAAAACTGTTTCTGACTGACACATAAAAGGCAGGTGATTAGTGGATATAAAGCCTACAGGAGACAGAGAAAAGAGAGAATTAAAATTTTTCATGGAAAAGCACTGGACTTGCAAAACAAGCACAGAAACAAACATACAGAAAATCTAGGCCGGGCGCGGTGGCTCACGCCTGTAATCCTAGCTCTCTGGGAGGCCGAGGCGGGCGGATTGCTCGAGGTCAGGAGTTCGAAACCAGCCTGAACAAGAGCGAGACCCCGTCTCTACGTATAAATAGAAAGAAATAATTGGCCAACTTAATATATATATTATAAAAAAAATGAGCCGGGCATGGTGGCACATGCCTGTAGTCTCAGCTACTCGTGGAGGCTGAGGCAGGAGGATCGCTTGAGCCCAGGAGTTTGAGGTTGCTGTGAGCTAGGCTGACGCCACGGCACTCACTCTAGCCTGGGCAACAAAGCGAGACTCTGTCTCAAAAAAAAAAAAAAAAAGAAAAATCTATTACACAGTTTTCCCATTTGCATTAAGAAATATGAACTTATAAAACAATGTAACAAAGAATTACAAAGGGAAAATTTTCTTGAACTATCCTACCTCCCTGAGTTAGAACACGCTATGACTATGACTGTCAACGTAAGCTCTGGGGTCAGAGGGCAGACTGGCCTTCTAGTTCCCAAGTGGGTGACTTAGAGAGGCTGCATTTAGTGCTCTAAGCCTCTCTTTCCAAATACATAAAGTAGAGGACAAAAATCACAATATCCTATGGGCTGTGAGGCTTAGAATACGACAAAGAACGCAAAACACTTAGTCCAATGCCGAGTAGCTGGGACTACGGCATGCTCAACGTGCCGCTGAATTTTTTTATTTTAGTTGTTTGGACTATTTCTTTCTATTTATGGAGACACGGGGGCTCGTTCTTGCTCAGGTTGGTCTCAAACTCCTTAGCTCAAGCGATCCTCCTGCCTCAGCCTCCCAGATTGCTAGGATTACAGGCGTGAGCCACCATGCCTGGCCTAAAGGCCATTTTTTTCCACTTAACCATCCACTTGACATAATATATATGGTTTGGAGAATTGGGCCCATGGTTGACCATCTAAACTAGAGATGTAGTGATAATAAACACTGATCGTGGCAGCCATT